ACACACACACAGTATATATAAAATATAACCCCAAAACTGAGCCATGATCAAAGGTAAGCTATGCATTACACATGTATTGTTTTACCTGAGTGTATGAAACTGTTGACATGCTCCACCACCAGCTCACATGAAAGGCCAATGGCGTGCTTAAAGTTTGCTGCTGCCATGTCCCAATAAGAGTGGTCGCCATGACTACGCTGCTGCCAGAGTGACATCACCGGAAGCAGCAGCTGGATGACAGCGAAGATGGCAAATCCTGGACCTTAAGGATTCGATAAAAATGTGTTGTTCATTCTTAAATATCAACAACAAAACAAGAGTATAACAGACCTAAGTGCGTTAACATTTAAAGTTCTGGATGAGAAACTCAATTTTAGACTAAAGTGTTGTTTGGAAGAAGCTACGTGAGACATGTGTAACATGATGTGGATCAAAAAGTTTAGCTTTGGGTTAAATCCATTTCTCTGTTCATCCTAACAAGAGAGGTTAAAACTATAATTGCACGTTTTCATTAAAAAAGCACAGGACAACTAAATAAATTGATTTTTATTAAGATATTAGCAATAACCTAAGAGAAATGTGTGTTTGGTGTGTCCAATAATCTAGGAAGGATTGAGGGTCATTTTCAAACTATCTAGGTCCATCATTCAAAAGGGAGAAAGGTTATTGACAAGTGGAAAACTAAGTAGGTTACCAATCTTGTTAGGATTGGTCATCCAGTAAAATCATTACAAGGTCAGGCTGGGACGAGCTAGTGATAGCAAACTGTGAAATCCACTGTGAAAATGTCATGTTTATAAGACCGAGTTTGTTGCAGTTCCTCAGACTGAAGAAGTCTTTTGGATAAAAGACGAAACATTTCAACAGAGGACCTGACTCAACCTTGTTAGATTTATCTACCTGGATTATTGAGCATGCATCAGGACTTCTTGAACCTCTTTGGACAGGATTGCCTCAGACTAGTTTGCGAGTTTGAGAATACAGCAAGGAAGAGGGCAGACTACAGCAACCACATGAGATACAACCTCTGTTGCAGACAAAGTGGCACCTTTTCCAACAGCCTGCAAGTCAAATCTTCTGTCAGTGAACTGGTGAGATAGACCAAGAGTACATTCAGCACAAACTAACAGCACACCTAGACCAGACCACATTTCAGCAGGTGATGGATTTCACAGAAAAGGCATGCTTAGCACAGCATATCTAGTCCAAGTCCTGACAACAACAGAAGTTTAATTTACAGGGAACTCATCAAGCC